CCAAATACGGGACCCAAAACTCCATTTGATGAGCCTGATGCAGAGATTACTGAACTGTAGGGAAAAGGAAGTTGGTCACGTATTTGGTGCACATTAAAAGTGCTACTTATATATATATATGCATGTGCAGGTGTTCGAAAAGTCAGGCCCTACAAGAGAATAAGACTTCTCTCGACGTTTAACCTGAAGGTTAAAACAACTGAGTGAGTCTAAACCAGCTCTTCTTCAAAATGCAAGAATTTCAGCTGGTCTTTCTTGCATGCTCTTCTAGCCCACGCAAATCAAGTTTCATTTTGATCTTTTAACATCCTGTATGCACTTGTTTAGAGAGTCCCTGCACTAGTTTCCTGCTGCTTCTGATATTATTAAACTTTACTGTCTCTTAAACGATGGTTAGATGTTTCTTACTACAGACAACTTTCATTTCTCTCTAGGTGACAAAAGAAGTTGGTGACATCATCATGGAAGAGGGTACGCACGAGTTGGACTGCAGAGGAGAAATCAATGTAAAAGGGAAAGGAAAGCTACATCTAACTAACAAATATGTTAAGGTATACTATCTGTTAATTGTGCATTTTTTCTCTTTATGTAGACAACAGGAGAAGAAAATCCAGTACAAAATGTACTTACTCTAGTGAGGTTCGCTTCCTCCATGATGGAAGTCCTACATTTCATAAATAAAGACACTCTACAAGAATTTAGCTTGAGAGTAGGTAAGTTTGACTAACAAGTTTTTCTATTACCAAAACAAGTTGAATTAAATATTTCCCTTTATATCTTTTAATGAATGAGATTCGAGAAAACGAACTTTTTATGTTCGCTGGCGTTTGATATAAATCAATTAATAACTTAATTTTCAAATGCATGACATGCCCTCACAAACTCTAGAGTTTATAACATTAAAATTCGGGTTTCTATCCATGCGGTAACGCACAACTAAACAATCTCTCTCAGATAATTATTTTTTTTTGTTTTCCCTAATAACGTACTTGTCAATAAAAAACACCATGATGTTGAATAAAAATATATAAAATTCATTAATTTTAAGTTATTCACATCAGTGAATCCGTAATTTCCTTGCAACCATACTTTTCTAAACTCGGCTGAATATATTAATGAAAAGTTATTAGTTATGCGTCATTACACAAATTTGAATAACCTCTTTTAACACTTCTGGTAGGTTATCTCATATTTTGTATATTAAGTTGCAGTAGCTTGACACTAACCACTACCTATAAAATGGCCCCCCAGTGGCACAGCGGTATGTCTGTGGGTTTCGATAATCGTGGTGGGCAGAGCACAGATAGTCCATTGTGTAGCTTTGTGCATATCTACAAACAAACAAAAACAAACCTATAAAATGAGTTAATACAGTTAATCGAGATATGAGTTAAACTGTTGGTTTGCAACTTATGAAATATTTTTTACCTCTTTTAAAGGTATTGCTGTAGGTCCAGTTATCGCTGGTGTTGTAGGTGCTGGTAAACCCCAGTACGATATATGGGGAGATACAGTGAATGTAGCTAGCCGAATGGATAGCACAGGTGTCCACGGACGTATACAGGTTGGTAAACTTTGTGTAAAACGAGATGCAAGTCCAATTTAGCTTTAAGGATGTCTTATAACAAAATAAATTATGTAAATGTTAAAAGAAAAGTAAATAAAAACTCCAAAATATATATAATATAATTTTCCATGTCTTCAACTTTACGTATTTTCTAAATGGAAACCATTAAGATATACTATCACATCTAACTAATAAATATGTACAGAAACCACCGAGTATAGGATGAATATTAACTGTCGTGTTATAACGTGGATATTAACACCGAGTATAGGATAAACATTAACTGTCGTGTTATAGTGTGGATATTTACACCGAGTATAGAATAAACACTAACTGTCGTGTTATAACGTAGATATTTACACCGAGTATAGGATAAACATTAACTGTCGTGTTATAACGTGGATATTAACACCGAGTATAGGATAAACATTAACTGTCGTGTTATAGTGTGGATATTTACACCGAGTATAGGATAAACACTAACTGTCGTGTTATAGTGTGGATATTTACACCGAGTATAGGATAAACACTAACTGTCGTGTTATAGTGTG